CAAATCGCATATAAAACATACTAAAAGATAGTGCACCACACTTGATCCCAGGGATCAAGATTGGTTCAACATATGGAAATCAATAATACATACACACACCCCCACGTTTGCATGCATGCGCTTGTGCACACATGTTAAACCCAAGACCAACATCATTCTAAATGGAGGAAAAATTGAAAGCACTCCCTCTGAAAATTGGAACAAGACAAGGATGCTCTCTTTCACCACTTATATTCAACACAGTCCTTGAAATTCTAGCCACAGCAATTAGGCAAAGAAAGAAATTAAAGGGATAAGAATAGGAAAAGAAGAACTCAAACAATTTGCTGGTGACATGATTCTATATTTAGAAGACCCAAAAAAACTTTCACCATAATACTTCTAGAACTATAAATGAATTCAGCAAAGTAGCAGGATACAAAATTAACACCTATAAATCAACTATGTTTCTATACATCAATGGTGAATCAACTGAAAAGAGAAATTAGGAAACTTTCCCACTCAAAATATCCTCAAAAACAAACAAACAAAAAATCTTGGAAATCAATCTATCCCCTTTTTTAAAAAGTTTCTTAAAAAATTGAGAAAGGATCTCACTGAGTTGCTGAGGATATTGCTGTGTTGCTGAGGCTAGCCTCACATTTGTGATCCTCCAGCCTCCTGAATCCTTTGGGATTTTAGTTCTATGCCACTGTGTCTAGCTTATGATGTTTTAAAGAGTAATAACTGTGATCATTAGTCTCTGAAGTTCCTTACAATTCATACTCATTAGGTGTCTGGTTTAAACACACCCAGTTTCTATTGTTCTCAAAAGTATTACTTTGAGCTTTCTGCCTAAATTAGGTAAGAAGTCAGTCTTAGTTCAGTGTTACTCAATTTGTGGGATAAGGACCAAAAACTCATCTAAAAATCATTATTGCTGGTCTGTGAACTATTTATTATAGGTGGTTAAAAAGAAGTAATGCATTGAGAAAAAACAAGAATTTTTTTACTGCCGTTCCATAGGATAATTTTATATATGTTTAATCTAATAAAAATTTTGGATATTACTTTGTAAAGTATATGAAAAACAAAATAAATGCAAAGGTATTGATCCATTTTGGAAACTCAGAAAAATGGGAATGGAACCACCATTTGACCCAGCTATCCCACTCCTTGGTTTATACCCAAAGGACTTAAAATCATACTATAGTGACGCAGCCACATCAATGTTTGTAGCAGCTCAATTCATAACAGCTAGACTATGAAACCAACCTAGGTGTCCCTCAATAGATGAATGGATAAAGAAAATGTGGTATATATACTCAATGTAATATTACTTTAAAGAAGAATAAAATTATGGAATTTGCCAGTAAATGGTTGGAGTTGGAGAATATCATGCTAAGCAAAACAAGCCAATCCCACAAAACCAAAGGCTGAATGTTTACTCTAATATGTGGATGCTAATTCACAATGAGGCAGGGGGCACTAGGGAAGAATAGATACCTTAGATTAGGTAGAGGGAGAGGATGTGGGGATAGGAAAGATAGTAGAATGAAACAGATATTATTACTGTATGTATAATGTGACTGCATGACCAACATGATTCTGCAACATGTCCATTCAGAAAAACGAGGAATTATATCCCATTATGTATGATATATCAAAGTGCATAAATGCATTCTACTGTCATGTATAACTAATTAAAACAAATAAAAAATTAAAAAAAAAGAAATTTAAAAAATGAAACAAGACTGGTTCTCCTCTACAGATTTTGTTTCATGTACAATTTCTGTAAAGATACAAGGAAAGAATTATTAACAGTTTCTTTTTTTGGCTAATTTCCACTTACTCTTTCAAACTTCAATTTTCAATATAATTTTCAGCTTTGCAAACTTGGTCAACAATATTAGGGTTTTTATTTTTGCTTTTCTGTGTACAGTATTAGTTTGCATAGCTTCCTCAACAAACCTTACCTCTATAGAATTCTTGCCTATTTATTTTGTTAAAATATATCACCTTCAAGATGGTTTTATACTGTGTAAATAAATTTGGCTAAGCTAGAACCATGTTTCCCAGAACATTCTTTCCCATGTATTTCCATGTTAGAAATGAACAAAGAAAAATGTGTGCAAGATTTGGAAGGAGGAAGTGAAATATCAGCCATAACCCTTTGAATATTTTTATGGTGCCAACAGATTCCAACTTGTCTTCCCTCTGTACATTTTCATGTCCAGCTAATATTACCCCTGATGAGAGAGAACTCCTGCCTGACTGCCTTTGAGCTGGGACATGAGTTTTCTCTTTTTACTCTTCCTGGGGCTCAAGCCTGCTGGCCTTCACTGCACTATTGGCTAACTAACCACACTGTTGGCTCTCCTAGGTTTCCAGTTTGCCAACTGCAGATCTTAGGACTCAATAGCCTTCCTAATTGTGTGAACCAATTCCTTATAATCGATCAGTCTCTTTGTCTCTGTACACACACACACACACTCCCTTCCTGTTGGTTCTCCTTCTTTGACGATACTTGACTAATACCACCCATATTCATCATTTTTTTTTAACTGCACTTTGGTGCTTAAGAGTTGCAGCTCACATATAATAGGGCAGAAAGAGAGGATAAGATTTGATATCTATTCATCTATATTAGATGGCTTAAAAGAATTTCTTTTATCTGTCTACTATTTCCAAAATGGTTATTATTAAGGCTATCAAGATCTAAAGAGGGCAAGAGGATTCAGTGGGTTAGAGTACAAAGAAGGCAAAGAGAATATTATAGAAAGAAATAATCAACAATGTCAAATGCTTTTAGAGGTGATATGGAGGAAATCTAATCATATTGATATTAACATGTTTTGGGTGATGAGGAAGTAGAAACAGTTAAGAATTGTGGAGTAGTGCCAAAGAAGGCTGGATGGAGATGATATGGACAGATTATAATGGTCTAAACAGGTTAAGGTCACTTTATGGGCAGCATGGAGAATGCATCAAAGAATTTTACTACATTTCTAGCAGCTATTTACCATGAATACCTTGTAGGCAACATTATATTTTCTATTTCTACTGAACAACATAGTTTCTGGCATATAATAGGAGTTCAATAAATGTTTGTTGAAGTGTTGGATAAAGGATTTCAACAAGTCATATTTTTTTAATCATGATATCTCTCAAATTTATCCTTTCCTATTCCCACTATCATTTTCACTCAAGGCTTTTACTACTTTATTATAATAAACTTGCTATCTAATTTTTCTCATTTCAATCAATTTGGGAAAGACTACCAGATTAATATTCTTATGCTTTTGATCATTTCACTTACCTGCTTCCTAACGTTCAAATCCACACCACTACCAACTGAAATAAATAGAAACTCTTTCGCCTTACTCCAAAGCCTGTCACACTCTGGCCCAAGACCCATATTTCAATCCTTATCTTCCATCACCTTCTTCGTAACTTAGCATCATTAGCTTCATACAGCATTTAAACCTGTGATCTCCTAGTCTAATGCAATGACTATCTCTGTGAAAAAAGACAAAATTCAGTAACTAAAATTAGTTTTGAAATAACACAGGTTTTTAATTACATGCCTTAAACACCATGAAGGAAATTACATTGACCACCCTGATACTTTTTCTTCTTCATTTTTTTTTTCTTTTTGAAGTAAAGATTCTGGTTATATTGTAGTCACCTCTTGGCCTATTAACTCCATCTTTTCCTCAAAATTCAAGGAAAAATAGAAACTCAAAAAGGGGAAAAATACCATTTTTCCTACTAAATATCATGTTTTAAAATCATTAATGTGAAGTGAATTGTTTTAAATGTTCATTTACCTGCCTATTCTATATGAGAATCATTCTACTGAAATTTGATTTCATAGGTGAGGATTAGCTTCTGAGAAGCTGAAGTGACAATATTTTAGGTCAGTTAGGACTATGTTATATAGGCTTTCTGACATACAGTTGGTAAACCTCAACTTAAGGAAAAAAATATGAGTAGCCATTTTATGCCTGGCACTATATGATACTTCTTAAAATTCATTTTCTCTGCTATCTACTTCTCACAGAGGCTGAAGTTGCTTTCATATATTTCCCTCCTAAACTCTCCAGAAGAAAGTCCATACAAGCATCTTAATTCCACTTGCTTCTCTTATCCTCATCATCTCTCTCTTCCACATTTTGCATTTCAAAATGAATATGGTTTGTCTTTTCTGAAACTCATAATGAAATTTGGTGCCCAGTATAACAGTGTTGAGAGGTGGTGGGGTCTTTAAAAGGTTAAGATGGATTCATGCAGTTTTTTCTTGGGGACTGGATTAGTTACCATGAGAGCAGATTTTATCAAGTAAGGCTGCCCCTTGAGCATGAGGCCCTCCTCAGATGTAGCTGCTGGATCTTGACCTCTGTCCTCCAGAACTGGGCACTAAATAAACTTCTTTCCTCTGCTGTTACCTAGTCTCAGGAATTCTGTTTATAGCATCAGAATATGGACTAAGATAATAGTTCAGCAGAGTAACCTCTTCTTAAAGGGAAAGTAAAAGAAACAGTGGGCCATGCTATATTTATCTTTAGGGAGAGTAAGAAGGGTACCACTGTTAGGGAGTACAGCTGTCTTGAATTATAGTACTTATACATTTCTTTATTTTCTACTAAACAGGGCAAGAATCATGCCATTTTTATTTGTTATCTCCAGAGCTTGCCTACTCAAATTGTAGTCTCCAGACTAGCTGAGTATGTATCACTTTGAGAGCTTTTTAGAAATGCAGAGTCATGGGTCCCACTCCAGATCTACTGAAAAAGAATCAATGTTTTAACAAGATTCCCAAAGGCATCTGTATTAATTTGTATGCTTATTAAAATTTAGCCTTATTTATAATCAAGTGACTTGGCATTTTATATTACATTAACCAAAAGCAGTCTTAATACTGAGTTTTGAAATGCTCTGGGTTTTCATATTTTAATTCATTTATAGAACACTTTTATAAATTATAACTTTTTGAGGCATTATATTTTGAATAATATTACCTTCTGCATTACAGGTATAAGTCATCAAAGATCCAGCACAGATGTCTTTTTCAGGTCTATTCCTTCTGTCAATTACTTGTCTGTAGTATATGAGTCAAGTAATTAAGAAAGAAAAATTTAAGGTTAGATGCAAGTTGTGGATATAATACTATAAAATTTAATATAAGTAAGGTACTAAACATTTCAAATTTCTACATGTTTTAAAGTGTAATTAAAAATTTCTCTGGAACCTTTCAACAACATAATAATTTTAAAATAATTATTTTAAAAACATGGAAAGTATCTTTCAAGTATTCCACCATTAAATACTTTGTAAGACATTTTGAAGAGTGCTGAAATTAAATTTTAATGTACAGATAAATGTATTACATATATATAGTTTTTAAAAGAAATAATCATGGAAACAAAATGTGATGCTCTGAACTCCTGGGTATTATGAAATTAAAGTGAGTGGTAAAAGTTTCATACTTTCCTGATTTCAAAAATAATCCATTATTAGTGTAAAAATCCCCAAATTAACATAATAACAACAATCTAATTATCTGGAGTTCTCTCCTAATTGCTATGGATTTAAAAAATAAACCTGAGATAATTCTGCCTTATAAAATTTTGTCATCAACTTTCACTTATATAATCATATTTTTGTTTTTAAATGTATAAAATTATAATACATTAAAATTCATTTAAAGGTGTATAATTCTTTGAATTTTAATAGATGCTTAGATTCATACTATTAACAACAGAACAATCAAAACAGGAAACAGTTTCAACATGTCAAAAAACATCCCTCATACTTGGTAGTCACACTTTCCTTATCCATAACCCCAACAACTACTTACCTTTTCTCTATTAGTTTTGAGTTCAAGAATGTCATATGATTTGAATCATACAAAATGTGACCATTTATATTTTCTCTCATTCAGTATAAGGCCCTTGATATTATCCAAGTTGTATAAATCAACAGTTCATTACTTTTTATTGATAAGGAGTATTCCATTATATAGCTATATACCGGTTTAGTTATTCATCTGTTGAAGGATATTTATTTTCTCAGGTTATGAAAATTATAAATAAAACTACTATAAACATTCACGTACAGGTTCTTGTGTGAATGTAAGTATTAATTTCTCAAGTCTAAATACTCAAGACTACTAGATCATATGGCAAATATATGCTTAACTTTATAAGAAACTGCTAAACTGTTTCCTAGAATAGCTGTATCATTTTGTATTCTCATCAGCAATGTATGAAAGTTCACGTTACTTTGCATCCTTCCCAGTGTTTGAAATTGTCAGTATTTATGCATATGTATACATACTGACAAATATATAATTATTTTCACACACACACACATACTGCAGATATTCTAATAGATATGCAGGAGTATCTCCTAATGGTTTTAATTTTGCATATAACCTTACTGAAGTGTCTGTTCAGGACTTTTGCCCATTTTAATTGGGATATTTTTCTTACTGTTGAGCTTTGAAAGTTCTTTTTATGTTCTGGATACATATCCTTCATTGGATATGTGATTTGTAAGTATTTTCTCCCAGCATGTAGCTTGTCATTTTTCTAACAGTGGCTTTTGAAGAATAAAAGGTGTTAAAGTACACTTTATCAATTAAAAAAATGGGTAGTACTTTTAGCAGCTGGTCTGAGAATGTTTTGCCGAATCCTGGATTACAAATATTTCTTTCTATATGTTTTTTTTTAAAGTTGGTAGTTTCAATTTTACATTTAGACCAATTATCTATTTTTTATTTTTGAGAGTATGTTATGAGATTTAGGTTGCCATTCTTTCTTTTTTGCACAAAGATGTCCACCTGTTCCAATACCATTTGTTGAAAAAATAGTTTTCTAAAAAATTGTGTTTTTATATTTGTCAAAAATCAGTTGGAGGGGCTGGGGTGGTGGCTTAGTGGTAGAATGCTCGCCTACCATGCATGAGGCACTGGGTTTGATCCTCAGCACCACATAAAAACAAACTAATGTATCCACCTAAACTAAAGATACATACATAAATAAATATTTTTTAAAAAATCACTTGGAGATATTTATATGAGTATTTCTGAAGTCTGTGTTCTTTTTCATTAATATATTTATCTGTCTTCTGCTAATACCACAATTTCTTGATCAGTGTAGCTTTAGATGGGAGAGGCAAACCATAGTAGACAGTCCAAATCCAGTGCTGCATAATACTCGATTGTGTATACATGCCACATTTTTTTTATCCATTCATCTATTGAAGGGCATCTAGGTTGGTTCCACAGTCTAGCTATTGTGAATTGTGCTGCTATAAACATTGATGTGGCAGTATCCCTATAGTATGCTCTTTTAAGGTCTTCAGGGAATAGTCCAAGAAGGGCAATAGCTGGGTCAAATGGAGGTTCCATTCCCAGCTTTCCCAGGAATCTCCATACTGCTTTTCAAATTGGCCGCACCAATTTGCAGTCCCACCAGCAAGGTACAAGTGTACCCTTTTCCCCTCATCCTCGCCAGCACTTGTTGTTGTTTGACTTCATAATGGCTGCCAATCTTACTGGAGTGAGATGGTATCTTAGGGTGGTTTTGATTTGCATTTCTCTGACTGCTAGAGATGGTGAGCATTTTTTCATGTACTTGTTGATTGATTGTATGTCCTCCTCTGAGAAGTGTCTGTTCAGGTCCTTGGCCCATTTGTTGATTGGGTTATTTGTTATCTTATTGTTTAATTTTTTGAGTTCTTTGTATACTCTGGATATTGGGGCTCTATCTGAAGTGTGAGGAGTAAAAATTTGTTCCCATGATGTAGGCTCGATATTTACCTCTCTTATTGTCTCTCTTGCTGAGAAAAAACTTTTTAGTTTAAGTAAGTCCCATTTGTTGATTCTTGTTATTAACTCTTGTGCTATGGGTGTCCTATTAAGGAATTTGGAACCCGATCCCACAATATGTATCAGATGCAGAGTCTCTGATTTGATATCAAGCTCCTTGATCCATTTTGAGTTAACTTTTGTGCATGGCGAGAGAAAGTGATTCAGTTTCATTTGTTGCATATGGATTTCCAGTTTTCCCAGCACCATTTGTTGAAGATGCTATCCTTCCTCCATTGCATGCTTTTAGCCCCTTTATCAAATATAAGGAAGTCGTAATTTTGTGGATTGGTCTCTGTGTCCTCTATTCTTTACCATTGGTCCACCTGCCCTGTTTTGGTACCAGTACCATGCTGTTTTTGTTACTATTGCTCTGTAGTATAGTTTGAAATCTGGTATCGCTATGCCGCCTGATTCACACTTCCTGCTTAGAATTGCTTTTGCTATTCTGGGTCTTTTATTTTTCCATATGAATTTCATGATTGCTTTATCTATTTCTACAAGAAATGCCGTTGGGATTTTGATTGGCATTGCATTAAACCTATAGAGAACGTTGGGTAATATCGCCATTTTGATGATGTTAGTTCTGCCTATCCATGAACAGGGTATATTTTTCCATCTTCTAAGATCTTCTTCTATTTCTCTCTTTAGGGTTCTGTAGTTTTCATTGTATAAATCTTTCACCTCTTTTGTTAGGTTGATTCCCAAGTATTTTTTTTTTTTTTGAGGATATTGTGAATGGGGTGGTTGTTCTCATTTCCATTTCAGAAGATTTGTCACTGATATACAGGAATGCCTTTGATTTATGCGTGTTGATTTTATATCCTGCCACTTTGCTGAATTCATTTATTAGCTCTAGTAGTTTCTTTGTAGACCCTTTTGGGTCTGTTATATAAATTATCACTATTTGCGGTTGATATGATACTATAAGTTCTTCTTTTCCTATTTTTATGCCTTTAATTTCTTTTGTCTAATTGCTCTGGCTAGTATTTTGAGAACTAAATTGAATAGAAGTGGTGAGAGAGGGCATCCCTGTCTTGTTCCAGATTTTAGAGGGAATGCCTTCAGTTTTTCTCCATTTAGAATGATGCTAGCCTGAGGCTTAGCATATATAGCTTTTACAATGTTGAGGTAAGTTCCTGGTATCCCTAGTTTTTCTAGTGTTTTGAACATAAAGGGATGCTGTACTTTGTCGAATGCTTTTTCTGCGTCTATCGAGATGATCATGTGGTTCTTATCGTTATGTCTATTGATGTGGTGAATAACATTTATTGATTTCCGTATATTGAACCAGCCTTGCATCCCAGGGATGAATCCTACTTGATCATGGTGCACAATTTTTTTGATATGCTTTTGTATTTGATTCGCCAGGATTTTATTGAGGATTTTTGCATCTAAGTTCATTAGAGATATTGGTCTGTAGTTTTCTTTCTTTGAAGTGTCTTTGTCTGGTTTCGGGATCAGGGTGATGTTGGCCTCATAGAATGAATTTGGAAGAGCTCCTTCTTTTTCTATTTCTTGAAATAACTTGAAAAGTATTGGTATTAATTCTTCTTTGAAGGTTTTGTAAAACTCCGCTGTATACCCATCCGGTCCAGGGCTTTTCTTGGTTGGTAGTCTTTTGATGGCTTCTTCTATTTCCTCCTTTGTTATTGGTCTGTTTAAATTGTGTGTATCTTCCTGACTCAATCTGGGCAAATCATATGACTTAAAGAAATTTATTGATATCTTCACTATCTTCTATTTTATTGGAATATAGGGTTTCAAAATAATTTCTGATTATCTTCTGCATTTCTGTAGTGTCCGTTGTGATATTGCCTTTTTCATCCCATATGTTAGTAATTTGAGTTCTCTCTCTTATTCTCTCCATTAGCATGGCTAAGGGTCTGTCGATCTTATTTATTTTTTCGAAGAACCAACTTTTAATTTTATCAATTTTTTCAATGGTTTTTTTTTGTTTCAATTTCGTTGATTTCTGCTCTGATTTTAATTATTTCTTGCCTTCTACTACATTTGCTGTTGTTTTGCTCTTCCTTTTCTAGGGTTTTGAGATGAAGTGTGAGCTCATTTATTTGTTGGTTTTACCTTTTTTTGAGGAATGAACTCCAGGCAATGAATTTCCCTCTTAAAACTGCTTTCATTGTGTCCCATAGATTCTGATATGTTGTGTCTGTATTTTCATTTATCTCTAAGAATTTTTTGATTTCCTCCTTTATGTCTTCTGTAAC